TGATAAAACAGGCCTGCAAGGATGGTTACTCTGCCTACCCTGGGGCTGGAGAGAAAAGACTGCGGTAAGGCGTTTGCCTTGCACGCGGCTGACGTGGGTTCAACCCCCAGCATCCCATTTGGTCCCCTGAGCCCACCAGGAGTCACCCCTGAGTGCAGAGCCAGGAGCAGGCCCTACCATTGGGTATGGCTTCCAAATAAGCAAAACACCTAAACTGAACAATTCCTCATTTTTGCAGGCGGCAGGTAGGGGCCACACAGCGCTGAGAGGGGGTCACAGGTCTCAGGCTGCCAGGCGCACATGCTACCACTGGTGCCATCTTCCCAGCCCCAAATCTAATATTTTAAATGAGTGAATGGTATGATATATTAATTACATCTCACTAAAAGTATTAAGATCTTTTTCAGTTTATCAATTTATTTTAAGAAAAAGTATAAAGGGTTCTCTCCTTCTAAAGTCGGCAAGCTGAATCTAAAATTCATTTGGGAGAAGAGCCAAAATAATTTTTTTAAGAGTATAATGAATGAGAACAACCCCTGGCACAAAATAAAACATACTATAAAGGCTAAAAAAAATTGAAAAAAAAAAAAAAAAACAACCTCAAGTTGTGTGCTACTGGCTTAGAAGCAGAGAAATGTGGAACAAACAGGTAGAACCAGGCAAAGAACAGAATTTCCATTACCGAGGCATGAAGAGGAATTTCATGTGTGCGAAGAAATGAGGGACTGTTTATGAACGGTGCTGGAACAATACCCACTGCAATCGCAGCCTGAAATATCAACTCCCATCCCACAGGAAAGAGATTACTAATGGAATTTTCGCGCTAGGGCAAAAACAAAACCATAAAAGCGTTAAAAGAAAAAACGGGAGAGTATTTGTGCACTATTTGAGTAGGAGAGGAAGGAAGGATGGACGTCCTGAGCAAAATGCCAGACCCGAACCCGAGCAGGGGAGGCGCCTCCTACCCCCGCCCCAGACAGACGCCCCACAAGGCAGAGCAGCCTGGGCAGTGAGGCCAGGGGCAGAGGCGCTGCTGCGGCCACACCAGCAAGGAGACTGACCTGGGCTCTCTCCCCCACCCCACCCTGCTGTGCACCCACTCCAGCGCCCGGCATGGAGGAGCTCAGTCAATACCTGGTGAACGGGCCGACTTGACGACACTAAAAAAAATCATGGAGCTCTATACAAGGAGACACACAAGTAGATACATAAATTTTGTATTTTCATAAATATATTTTAATATGTCAATTTTTAAAATAAATAAAAAGACAAATGTAGGCATGGGAGAAAAATTATAGGTTAAGTCATGTAAAATTCTAGGGACCAGAACAATAGCACAGCAGGTGGGGCAGGTGCTCTGCATGGGGCGGACCTGGGTTTGACCCCTGTATTCCCAGCCAGTCTCCCAAGCCCACCAGGAGTGATCACCGAGAACAAAGGCAGGAGTAAGCACTGGGCACTATTGGGTGTTGTGCCACGCCCCCTTCCCGTCCCTCAAGAAAGCTAAACCTACGAAAAACCCTATACAATTCCTACTTGGGTCCTGGAGAGGTAGGACAGTATGTAGAACTTGTCTTGCACATGGCTGACCCAGGGTCGATCCCCAGGATTACACATGGTACCCTGAGCCCCACCGAGGGTGATCTTGGATTACAGAGCCAGGAGTAATCCCTGAGGACTGCTGGGTGTGGACCCCAGACCAGAAGTAAATAAAATAAAATTCCCATTTGGGAGGCTGAAGAGCTAAGGATATAGCTCAGAGGTAGAACACTCTGATTGTGTGAAGCCCTGGGTTTGATCCCTGGCAGTGCCCAAACCCCAAAGAAACAGAAAATCAAAACTGGTTGAATATTTTGAGGGCAAATGGGGTTCAACCTAACATTTTTAGCACGTGTCATATGAAGGAGGCATATGTCTAACCTGTAAAACACTCTTACACAACAGTCAGACCAATAATCCAATAGAAAACAAAAAAAGATTTTATGTGTAAGATTTAGATAAGCAGGTCACAAAAGAAAAGATAAACAATCCCAGCAGTGTGGCAGTGGAGACCCAGCTGACGTAGAAACAATGGCCGAGCTGCCACACTGGTAAGCGCGGCCAGACCGAGGGAGGGCCAGCACCCCGCCATAGCAGACATGTCGGCGACATAGCATGTCAGCGAGAACAGACATCACGGTGTGACTTAGCAGGGCCTGCTGTGCACCGTGGTTAAGGCTGGAGACTGCTGACGGGGCTGAGCACGGGGCTCTGCATGCAGGGGCCTGGGGCTGATCCCAGCACCACAGGGTTCCCAGAGCACGACCAGCAGTGACTCGATACTGAGCTGGAAGCAGACCCCGAGGACCACCAGGCGAGGCCCCCAAACAAACAAGACCACTGTCAAATGTAGATACAAAAATCAGGATTGTTTGCGCACAGACGGTCTACCAAAATACGTTGGGCCAGTAGGACTTTCCTTCCGCTCCCAGGCTGAGATCCAGTTGCGTCCTTGGTCAACAGGGTCAGTCAGCTCAATGCAAAGACCCAAGGGTGCACAGCACACTCCAGGAAGCCCCTGGCCCTGGACGCATGATGCTGGGAGCTGAGTGTGCCAGAGGCACCCGGGGTTAAGGTGGGACCGGGCACACGAGCTCCGGACCTCCCGCTGCCTCCCAGCCCGGCTACCCTCTTCAGATGTAATCACTGTGCTGCAGCCACGGGCTCCTTTCAAACTCTATATTCTAGATCCATCTACAAATGATCACATCCATAATTTATGGACGAAATTATATGGTGCTCCATGCTGAGATTCTATTCTGAATAATTCACGAAGATGAAGAAGGAGAGAACGGCTAATGGGACAGATAAAACAAGGTTTGGCTGGGGGCCAGAGCGACAGCACGGTGGGGAGGGCGTCTGCCTTGTACACGGCTGACCCAGGTTTCATCCCCGGCATCCCATATGGTCCCCTGAGCACCACCAGGTGTGATTCCTCAGTGCAGAGCCAGGGGTACTCACAGAGCATCACTGGGTGTGACCCAAAACAAACAAAAGACAAACAAGGAACTGGCTGCTGCTGGAAGGTGAGACATAGAGGGGAAATTTTGTGTGTTTTTTTTTTTTTCCTTTCACAGGTTTGAAACTTAACATAAAATTTCCCAAAGAAAATAAACTGGCTCCATTTTCTCAGGTCGAGGTTGAGGTGACAAAGACCTGGAATCTGTAGTCATCTGCTGTAGCGGGGAAACCGGAGCGTAACCAAGACAGGCCCCAAAGAAGGGCAGAAGGCACAGGGCCCCATGGGCCGAGAGGACGGAGACATTCGTGGGAGGAGAGTCCACAGAAAGGAAAGGAACACCAGGAGCGAAGGATAAACGGCGGCAAACAAAAGGAGGAAACAGAATGCAGCCACCGAGGCTGATTTCTAACTGCACGACATGTCACGAGACTTCCTGCCAAGGTGGCACAGCGGGAGGGCACTTGCCTCGCATGTGACTAACCCAGATTGGATCCCCGGCATCCGATATGGTCTCCTGAGCACGGCCAGGAGTGATTCCTGAACGCAGGGCCAGGAGTGAATTCTGAGCACCACTGGGTGTGTCCCCCCACCCCAAAAAAACCCAACAAAAGACTTCCTGCTAGTATTTAGGCTTCAAATGCAGATTGATGGATTAATACCTTCCCAAACCCATTCTGGAATACTTATTTACTGGTATTTCATATACTGTTGTAAGAAGTGACCCCCAAATCCCAACAGGTTAAATGCACTTCTCTTAATGAAGTTCACCACAAAATTAAATGGCCTCAAACTTGACCTCTGTGTATGAGAACAGTCAAAGTCCTCTGGCCAAAGCTTAATCTTTTGCTTTCTGTAGCTAAATTTTATCTAGTCTTGTTTTTGCTTAGGATCATCTGACAACCTCATCTGATCAACCTCCCGCCCGTCCCCCCAGTGGGGCCTGGAGCTGTCATGTGTGGGGAATGAGGGGGTTTCAGTCGGTCCTTAACCTTCTGAGACGGTACCATGTAGAACCAAAACGTCACCCAGCAGCCTGACAGAAATCCTCCATGAGACGAATCAAGTGAGACTGTTCATCTGGAAGTCGTGTCTGGGGGTGCTAGGGTTGCTCCCAGTGGTTCTGGAGTCACACAGTGCCAGGGCCGCCAGAGGAGGCAACTGTGACCCGTCCCCAGGGCTGTCTCCTGGGCCCCAGGCAGCGCCTGAGGCTCCAATCGCGTCCATTGCTGTTGCCCTCCTCCCACAGACCCACAAGCATCCCACCCGGAGCCGAAAGAAAAGTCTTCTAGTTCTAGCTCTGCAGCCCTCAGAGGAGGGACAACCCATCTGTAAACGGGAATCAGGTGGAAAGGGTTCCTACGTGAGGAGAGCACCAGGCCACCAGATGGACGTTCCTGGGGCTCTGCACACAAGAGACTCGGTGTCAGGAGGAAGAGCACGGGAACCCCCTTTCTTTTCCTACTCTGCTTTGCTCAGGCCGGCTGGAGGAGGCTGGGCCTACAAGCAGTCAGGAAAACGGGAGCAATCAAGGCCTTGGAACGAACCTTGGCCCACTCCATACCCCTATGGGGCTTGGCTCCTCGCCAACAGGCTTCCCTCCTCTGAGTCCACGTCCTGTTTCTACACCAACGGTGTGCACTGAAGTAAGACGGCCGGGTATGCAAAGGAAAACTCCAGCTTTCACCCAGAAGGAACTGCATTTGAGACGAGCTCAAAATGATTCTAAACCAATCTCAAGTAAATCAAGCTACCTGTTTATAGAAGAATTTAACTATTGAATCCTCCCCTTTTGTGACCAAGCAGTCTTTTTAGGTGAGATCTGTGATCGTCTCGGGAAAAATCACAGATGCTGCTGCTCTAGCAGGCTTAGCTGTGGATACTGGGAAGTCGACGAATGGCTCTGCTTCTGCGAGACATGCCTCCTGACTGCACTCCCAGGAAAACCAACGACAGAGAAGAAAGAGCTAGAGCTTGTTTAGCTGGTACCTCTGCTTCTTACCCACATATTCTGAGAGGAAGACGACAAAGAACGGAGTGACCAGGTCGTTGATTCCCTGGACATAGCCACTGGCAGGGTGTCGGATAGCCCAGATAAAGAGGATTCTTTCAAAGATCTGGGGAGAGAAGAAAGGGGACATACCCGTTAAATCAGGGATCGCACCCCCTCCCTCAGCCTTATCTCAGGACTGTTGCAGAAACTTGAGGACAACGTCTGATACTATGGACCAAAGGCAGCTAGGTGCAGACAGGAGCAGGGAACTTCTCGACACTCTGCACCCTGTTTGCCGTGACATCTACTGTGATATAAAATCAGGAAAAGGAGAGGACAAGAACACGAAGGAAAACAGAACCGAGAATTCTGACCACAACCACACTCATCTGCTTCTATGTTTCCAGAACATCTGAGTTCCATTACCTTCCTCCCTCTCTAGAGGTCATGACAGATCTAGACGGGAAGTGTTCTTTGACCTTTCTCCCCACCCTGAGCTGGAGGGAGCTCTAGATTTAGTTCTCGCCCAGGTGACTAAGAACCAGTGACGGCTACAAATACAGGAAGTCACCTTACAACTCAGGATACAGCCCGGACAGTCTCTGGGCTAGGAACACAAATGAGCCACATCTTGTGGGCTCCGGCAGCCGGGCATGTGAAACACAGAAACCAGCCAGACTTCTGCGGAAAGCCTCTGGGTCCACCGTCAACCGCAAGAGACCAGAGGCACAGACTGGAAAGAAGGATCTTTCACTCCTGTCCCACTCGGCCACACGCCCATTTTTGCTGGGTCCTCTGAGCTTGACACCCCCACCCCCACCCCTACCCCCACCCAAACACACACTGACTTCCTGGGGCCCAAGTTCTACAACTGGCTTTGACTGTGTCTCAGGACCCTAACAGACCACCCCAGAGAGATGGCAGAGGTGGGGGCACATGCAGTAGGAGCCGGGACAGAGGGATCTGCCAACAAATGTCTCTTGGGAAGAGTAACGCAGAGGATTAAATGGCTGCACGGCTCTGGGGCAGGCAGGAAGGAAGCGGAGGTTCCAGTGGCACCGTGGAGGCTGTTTTCCCAGGCTGCCGTGCGGCTGGCCGGGAGCTGAGGCAGCCGTGGGCCGCCTGAGCGGGCACAGACCCTCTTGGCCGCCGCTGGTCAGACCTGACGGTCTCCCCTCTGCCTGGCTGCAGGCCCCTGCCCTTGGGCCCAGGCTGGGCCTGGCACGCTCGGGAAGACCTCAGGGGCCCAGAGCGTCCAGCAGCTCCCTCACCTCCTGCACCAGCGGCTGCTGAAACAACGGAATGAGAGGGTTCGTCCTTGGAATGTCGATGTGGATCTGGAAGAGAGAAGTCATGACCAACCATGAATGCCAAGGGTACTCATCTGCAGAGTTCTCTCTTAAGAACCAAGAATCAGGGGGCCGGAGCAATAGCACAGCGGGGAGGGCGTTTGCCTTGCACGTGGCCGACCTGGGTTCTATTCCCAGCATCCCATATGGTCCCCTGAGCACCGCCAGGAATAATTCCTGAGTGCACGAACCAGGAGTAACCGCTGTGCATCGCTGGGTGAGACCCAATAAAGAAGAAGAAAAAAAAAGAACCAAGAATCAAGGGAGTGAGCGAGTCCGCTTTTCCTGTTAGAGAACTGGCTGTCACACGCATGCACAGTCGCACGGGCGTCTCGGCCCAGGGCTGCCGCCACTCTTCCCTCCAGCTGGCACTCTGAGCTCCGCTGGAAACGCGCCTCTCTCTCAGGGTTTGAGCCTCAGAGCACAAGGAGCTCCAGCAGCTCCAGACCTCACCGGCCAGGGAACCAGAGAAGGAGCTGCTCAGGACGGGGAAGTTGTGGGGGCCGACGAGGGAGGGAGCGAGCCCCCTAGAGCTGGTCTGAAAGTCCCACTTCAGTAGCTGATGCAGTCCCTCAGGCTGGCTCAGACCAGGGGGCTCCCAGGGGGACAGTCTTGAGAATTGCGCCCCCGGCCGGAGGTCTCTTGGTTGCAGGGGTCCCGCCTGCCCCAGGCAGCTGTGCTCCCCTGCAGGAGCAGACCAGCCTCCCAGGCACCCTTCCCTGGGCTCTGGCTGTCAGGCGGCTCACGGACACTGCGTGTGCAAAGAGGCAGAGAGACGGATGGATGGATGGACAGATGGAGCTGCTGGGCAGGTGCTGCAGGACCAGAAGGGGACACTGACGTCCCCACTGAGCGGACTCCACACCAGTCACCCTTCCAGCTGCCGGTCCCTAGAGCAGCAACCGCGGCCTCCCCGGGGGGCTGCCGGGAAGTGAGGTCTCGCCTCAAAACCCACCGAGTGTGAATCTGTGTTTCATCCTCCCCCCGTAGGGGGATTTCACAGACATCCTGGGGGGCTGCAGCCGCACTCAGATCTGAGGGACACCGCCACGGGCGAATGCCAAAAAAACACCAAGTTTAGAGGACTGAAATGAGATTTTCAGGCTGGAGAGAGAAAGAGCAGGCTGGGGTGCACTTCACTCCACACACACACACACACACACACACACACACACACACACACACACACACGCCACAGCCCAGAGACAGGGAACCAGGACACCCGAGAGAGCTGTGCCCGGCAAGGAAAGGGCGGCAGGAGAGGCTGCGCCTGTCTGTAAGTATGAGGAGAGCCTGTACCTGTGTGTAGGTGTTGAGAGAGGCTGCATCTGTCTCGGGTGTGAGGAGAGGCTCTAGCTATTTGTGACAGAGAGGCTACACCTGTCTGCAGCCGGGAGAGGCTGTACTTGTCTGTAGATGTGAGGAGAGGCTCTAGCTGTCTGTTGGTGTCGAGAGAGGCTGCATCTGTCTGTAGGTGTAAGGAGAGGCGGCACCTGTCTACAATCGCCTGGAGAGGCTGCGCCTGTCTGCAGGTGTCAGGAGAGCCCTTACCTGTCTGTAGGTGTCCTGATGGTGCTCCTCATTTCGGGAGTCGTAATACTGCTCAATGAAGCCAAAATATTCCTCCCGCTTTCGCTGCAGCGTCAGTTTCCTCCGCTCTGTGTTTGCTGGGAGGTAGCCCTGCGGGCGGGAGGGCTGGTCAGGCGGGCACAGACGCCAGAGTCCTGAGCCCTGTGCTTCTACCTCAGCTGAGCAGTGGCTGGGAAAAACTGAAGGAACGGGAAGAAAACGGCCCCGGAGACAAGGGCAGATTCCCCTGTGGGCCGGGCCACCCAGTGTCTGCCTGCACCCAGGCAGTGAGACCCACATGGGCACTGAAGCGAGGCCAGCTGTCCCCTCGGCACCAGCCCTCCAGAGCACTGTGTGCGTGGGAGAGGGAACAGGGCCCAAGGCAGGGCCACACACCCAGGGAGAAGGTGCTGCCCAGATGCAGCCTGGGAGAGGGAGCGCCGGTTGGACAGGCTTTTTTTTTTTTCCAGGGTCCTGTCCAGAGCTACGGGTTCGGGAAGCTGGACAGAATCCATGACGGAACACTGCAGCGACCAGGCCCACGACGTCTGGCAGCAGCCCCTCACTGTTCGCCTTGGCGCAGAGCCCACTCTCCTGCCCCCACTTCCATTTGCAGTGAATCCACTCCTCGGAGTGTTCCAACGGACCGGCGGGGCCTGGCCGAGGCCGGGCCGGGCGCGGGCAGGAGGGCAGTCGCTCCGCTGGACCGGGCCTCCCCGCTCAGCACCTGGCACGGGGCCTGGGAGCAGCAGGCCCTCAGCAAATCCTGCCTCGCTGAATGAATGCGTTCCCAGCCCTTCCCAGTCCCCATCCGAGGGGCTGGCACAGTGCTCGGGAACTGGCTCCGCTTCCGGGGCAACCCATTATCCACTCTTCAGAGTGGCAGAGCGGGTTTCAACCTAATGAAAAGGGACTTTGCCACCCAGGGAAAGTGGGGACAAGCCCAAACAAGTGTGGGATCACCCAGCCAGGCTGTGTCCTTCCTCCCCGGAGCCGAGAGAGACACAGTGCGTGTGAGAGTTCACGTGTGAGGGGAAAACGCTGGAGAAACTGGGCTTTCGGCACATTGGTGAAGACTGAGGCCCACAGGAGCATGCCTGGCGGCCTGGCGGGCCCGGAGGAAGCCCGCGCCCAGGAAACGTGTGGACTGGGGAGGCAGGTAGGCAGAGCCGAGGCGGAGAGGGGCACTCACCGACAGGAGCCTCCAGGTCACAGGCCGGACCTCCCTGGGCACCCCTGGCCAGCTACACTTCCTCAGTTCATCTGCAAACATACAACAGCTTTGCTGGACCAGCCCTTCACAGATGCCTGGAAGCCAGCCGTGACCAGCTGGGCCCGATGCCGCCCACCGCCACTGCCACCTGCGGCTGACCAGCACAGGAGAAAGCCCTGCACAGCCCCGAGCAGCACAGTGCGAGGTCAGGCCGGGGGCCCGGAGTTAGCCTCAGAGGGAAGAGAACGGCCAGTCAGTGGGAGTGGGGTCGCGAAGATTCCCGCTGGAACAGCTGCACCTACAGCACCTACAGCTGGACTCCAGCCCGCCTATCTGGCCCTGATTCCTAGCCGCAGGTCTCACTCGATACCTGCCCGTCACTGCGCTGGGCACCGGGTCAGGAATGCTGGAAAAGTAAAAGACGGCAGAGTAAACAGCGACAGCGGGAGTCCGGGAGTCCGGCCACCAGGAGGCCCGACCGACCTGCAGGGCAGGGCCCGGGCACTCACCTAAGTCAGTGTTGTGACTGGAAAGAAGCTGACGGAATTTTTCTAGCCGCGTCTTCTCGCGCACAGTCATCGGAGGCGCCCCCGAAGCGTTCTGGTCTGAGATGCGGGCCACGAGGGGGATGATGGGCCGGAGCGGGAGGGACTGCTGTTTGTGGAGCGGGTTCCTCAGGCAGGGGTCGCCTGCGAGGGGGAGGCAGAGACGGGGGCTGAACCCGCAGCCCTGCCACCCCGTGAGGTGCGCCTGGGCTCCCCTCCAGAGGAAGGGCCCTGACTCGGTCACCAGGGACTCCGGCCCTCCTGGCACGCCCGGTGGAAAAGCTACTGTTTTCTTTCCACCCCACCCTGGCACTTCGAGATGCGTGAGCTGGAGTTTAGGGGCCCGCAGGCTCAGGCAGCACTGAGAATCTATGGGAGGTGGACGCTGCCCTCCGGAAGCCCAGCTGCCCCGCGCCTGCACTTCCCAGGACACTTCCCCGTGTCCCCGGGGGTCCCCTTCTGCAGGGGGCTGGCCAAAACACGGCACGGCTTCAAACCGGACCCACACCAGGTCCCAGAATGTCTGAACCAGCACTCGGGGAAACGAGCACATCCGCACCCACACACGGGGCTCCCCCATCCAGGCACCGTTGGGCCACGCAGCATGTCACACCTGACTGGATCCTTCCGACACCTGGGAGGGGCTTGTGACTATCGTACTGGAGCAGAAATTGCAGATGAGCGGTTAAATGGTTTCCAGGTGAGAGCCGAGATGTTACCTTAGGTCTGCTTCATTTAAGAGCCTTGTTTATTTTATTGTCGCAAACAGACTCAATTTAAAATTCTGATTGTCGAGACAGTACGGCAGGTGAGTCACCTGCCTTGAATGTGGCCCACCCGGGTCTGATCCCTGGTACTTCATGTGGTCCCCCAAACTTGCCAGGAGTGACCCCCGAGCACAAAGCCGGAGCGCTGAGTGCTGCTAGGCAAGGCCCCCGAAACAACAGCAGCAGCAAGTTCTGACATCCTCCTGGGACTATTTCACAATCTTGACCTCTGTGGGCCCTAAAAGGCTGTACTCACGAGAAGACTGAGATGGTGAACGCCCAGCACAACTAGCCGACTGACTAAAACAACTTCCTTAGGGTTGGACACAGGGAAGGGATACCTACTGTAACTCTGGGCCTAGGAAACTCAGAGCCCGTGCTGCAGGGTGGAGTGAAACGGGTGTGCACCTCTGCCCAGGTATTCCCAGGAGGGCAGGCACACTCCTGACCATGCACAGACGGCCGAGGGGGCACTGTGAGTGGGTTCTAAATCCCACCAGGAAGGACTTCAACGGCCAGAGAGCTGGACTTCCTGAGCACACGCTGTAGTCAGAATCTGCAAGTCTTCCTAGAATTTGAGTCAGGACATGGTCTGGGCCCTGAGAGTCCTCTATTTCTTTTCTCATCTCTCAGGAGTGCTAGGATGGTGGCACTGCTCCCTCCAGCTCAGAGTAACTGACTTCCATAAAGTCCCTCTGGGCCCATTCAACACTGCAATGGACACAGTAAACAAGCCCGGTGAAACCAACCAGCACTGCAGCCAACTCTCTCAAGGAGCACAGAGGGCCTCCTCTCACCCCGCCCAGCCTGGCAGGCAGGAAGCTGTGCTGGTCCTGTAGGAACAGGAGAAATATCTGCGAGGTGGCACGGTGGATAGGACACTGGCCTCATAGGTGGCTGACCCTGATTCCATCCCAGGCACCGTATGTGATCACCCGAGCCATGAGCGCAGAGACGGGGGTCTGAGCAGAGTCAATTAAGGTCCAAAAAAATCAATCAATGAACAAATGAGCACACCAATGAACAAATGAAATGCACTCTGCAGGAAGGGAAGCAGGGGACTTACTGGAATTCCGTGACAGCTGGGCATCACTGCTGGATTTGATGACCTTATAGTTAGCAGGGATGTCAGATGTCGTGGACTGGGACCGTTCTGGCTTCACCCTTAGCTTGCTGTGGTTTTCCAGGACTTGGGCCGCAGTTGCCAAAGCAACTTTTGAGTTCAGAGTTTGAAAAGAAGGGGAGGAAAAGTCCTCTTCTTCATCATCGCCAATGTCCCAAGCATCACTGGTGTTCCGAGCAAATTCGTGAAAACTGGAGGCCTTCTTACTCTTCAGAGGAACTGCGTTGACTTTTGACCGTTCTTTGATGAAGCTTAAGAAAGGAGCATTGGGATGAGCAAGAAATAAACCTTTGGTGGGTCGGCTCCCTGAGAATTCGAGCTAATTTGCTACGACAATATAAACTAAAGCGCTCCTTAGAGTAGAGCATAATCTACAGGCAATAGTAGGTAGTTCACATACGAAGTATTAAGTTCTGAGTTCAGACATGAACAAGTTACTCCAATCTTATTCTGCTAGCCTTGAGAAGACAGTCTTAGTTTACCTCTACTCTGTCTTTTACGACTATTTTAAGCATTTTAAGGGAAGCTTCAAGATTAATGTATTTGCAAACAAGAGGATCTGGCTTAGAATTTATTGAGATTGGGGCTGGAGAGAAGCCCAACTCCCTTGTTTCACGACTAATCTCTGTGGAGACATCAAACTGCCACAATTCCAGGTACACCAGTTTTCAGGCTGGGAACTTGGAGGTTTTCTCAGAGTGGGGCTGGGCATCCTCCCCCCTACTCCCCGGAAGTTCCAGAAACCCCGGCAACAATGTCCACATCCTATAGCCACTGCCATGCCAACTCATCAGTCCAATTCTACAGATCCTGAGGTTTCTAGACTGCAGGGCTGCATACATAGCCACCCAACACCTAAAATTCCACAATGGTGTCCTCCCAGTAGGAATGCAGCAATTAAATGGGAAAGCAACATAGTAGCCAACTGAGCTCAGTAAACAAAAACAGTAACACAGAAGGCTCAACTAGCAACAAAACAGTTTAGTAAACCCACAGACAAGGACTTAACCACCCCATGGTAATATATAACAATTTTCACAAATTTTCTTTTACGGGAGTATTTTTGATAATTTCATTAGCCATTTAGCTGTAACAAGCAACATAAAAGAAATTATTTTGCGCTTGCTAATGGGACAGGCTTGGAGCTGGTTGGGAAAATGGTGACAATGGTGGAGGAAAGGTCACTCGGGTGATGAGACTGGTGTTGCAACACTGAATGCCCATAACAACTTTATTGTAAGCAATGTTGCAAACCACAGTGTTTAAATCAAATTAAAAAAAAAAAAAGATTGGGGCTGGAGAGATAGTAAAGCATTTGCCTTGTACAAGCCTGGCCTGGGTTCAAACCCTGGCATCCCATATGGTCCCCCAAGCACTGCCAAGAGAATTCCTGAATGCAGAGCCAGGAGTAAACCTTGAGCAACACTGGGTATGGCTTCTAAAACCAAAGAAAAAAAAGAAAAATATCCGATTACTTTTCACATCTTATTTATTTTGGTTTGGGGGCCGCACCTGGCTGTAGTCCAGGATTACTCTCGGCTCTGTGCTCAAAAGGATCACTCCTAGCAAGGCTCAGGACTATACCTCGGGATGGGGATCAAATCTGTCTAGACTGCATACAAAGCAAGTACGTATATCTCCCAGGGCCCCAGTGTTACCATACCCACTGTATTGTCTCCCAGACCTCTCCTGTGCTTAGTTGGTTTTGGAGCTATACATGGAGATGCACAGGGGTTCCTCCTGGCTCTAGCCCTCCTGTGTTTTGTTTTATTATTTTTTTTTTGCTTTTGGGGTCACACCCAGTGATGCTCAGGGGTTACTCCTGGCTCTGCACTCAAAAGTTACTCCTGGCGGTGCTCAGGGGACCACATGGGATGCTGGGAATCAAACCCGGGTCGGCCGTGTGCAGGGCAAACTCCCTACCCAGCCCCTCCTGTGTTTATTTTTTAAGGTTATTCTTCAATGCATGCAAATGATGTCGGCAAATGGTTTTCCATTCACACAAGTGATAAATTTCCTTTTAAAAGTAAGTTTATGCCCTCTCCTCTCTGGAAAGAAAGATGGCGGCCTTGTGGACAGCAGGTATGAGCCAGGGGTCGGGGGTGACAAAAACCTCATGGGAAGGGGGGCATTCCGGCCCGTCCTTCACGCCCTACTGAGGTCACCAGTTGCCCCCATGAGCGGCTCTCCGGCACGGCCACGACTCCAGAGCACAGAAACCAATCTTTTAACTATCTAACTTTTAATAGAAATACTTCCAGGGTTAATAAGTAAAATAGCAGAAATCCAAAACCGCGCGGCCGCTATTAAAATCATTTAATTCTTGAAACCAGCTGTAGAAAGCAAATCATTTCACAACGCTTTTTCAGCATGTCTGATTTGGGGGGGGTAAACTCTAAATAATAATGGTGCATCTTTTATCGAAACAATGAATCTAGTCAAAGTAGACAGAGTGTTAACTAGAACTCATCTGCCTCACAGGAATTGGGAGGGGTAGGAGGTCTATTGGGGTTCGCGGTTAAAAATAAGTATTGGTAAAGGGAAATGCGTTTGATATTTACATGACTGAGACCTAAGCCTGGAAGCTCTGTAACTTTTCCCACGGTGATTCAATAAATAAATAAATTAAAAAAAAAAAAAGTAAGTTTAGGGGCTGGAGCAATAGCACAGCGGGTGGGGCGTTTGCCTTGCAAGTGGCTGACCTGGGTTCTATTCCCAGCATCCCATATGGTCCCCTGAGCACCGCCAGGAGTAATTCCTGACTGCAGAGCCAGGAGTAACCCCTGTGCATCACCAGGTGTGACCCAAAAGCAAAAAATAAATAAATAAAAATAAAAATAAGTTTATTTTTAACTTTCAGAAACCAATCACCGCCATCCTCACAGCCAATCTCCACATCCTGGGTCCCCTACCCAAGAGACTAAATCCACTGAAAAATACAGGTATGCAGGACCAATGACTGAAAACACCAGGTTCATGGGGTCGGGACTGGGTCGCCACTTCCCATCTCCCCGCCCACGCTTCCTGGGTCCTGGCTGTCCTACCAATAACTGCCTCTGGGTACCATTTAAGCACCTGAACAGCCATGATCCAGAGACTCACAAATGAACCTCAGAATGGAGCAGCTTGCTGTAGGGATGGATCCGGACCCCAATTTTATTATTTTTAGAAATCCAGGAGCACCCACAACATCTCATACCTTTTTAGAAAGTGGCTGCATGACATCTCATACTATTTTTTTTTTTTTGCTCTATGTTGAATAACTGAGACAGGCCCTTACAGACATCTTAAACTATTCATAACAAGCAATACAAAATAAATTATCTCGCATCTGCCTGTGGGGCAGGCTTGAGTGGTGGTGGGACACTTCAAAATAATGGCGGTGGGAAGTAATGGTGGTGGGATTGGTGTTGAAATATTGAATGGAATCAATTATTGTGAACAACGTCATGAAACTAAAAATTTTAAAAAAGAACGAAGAAAGCAATATTACTGCATCCCACAAAATGAAGGTAATAAAATGTTTTTAAAAGAAAATAAAAAATAAGTCTATTTTTGTCAATAAAATGAGTTCTCTTCAAAATATATTTAGCAGAATATAGTAGAAAATCATGATCACGATCACGATCATCCTATTGTTCGTCGATTGCCTCGAGCAGGCACCAGTAACGTCTCCTTCGCCCTAGCTCTGAGATTTTAAGAAGTGCCATATTCAAGGCTCTTTCAGGGTTAGGAGAATGAGACCCATCATTGTTGCTGGTATTTGGCATATCAGGTACGCCACGGGGAGTTTGCCAGACTCTGCCGTGTGGGCAGGCTACATTCGGTAGCCTGCCAGGTTGTCCAAAGTAAGAACGAGATAATAAGATGTTGCGCGGCCACATTCATTTCCGGGAGCTGGGTTTTGTAGTCTCTGGGTCTTGGCCGTTGATGGCCAAGTATAAAATATGGTAAAAAAAAAAAATCATAACAAAGTTTCATGAATGCAGTTTGAAAAATACTAAATTAACTCATTGAGGTAAGAGAGCTTAGTCCTAGCTCACATGGATCACTCCTACTTGGATTTTCTTCTCTGTCTTCCCTACATGTCTGAGGCCCTAAAAATCTGGCTCCAGGTGATGGAGTAAATGGGGGCTTCTCTAACTCATACAAAAACAAAGAGCATACAAAAACAAAGAACAAAGGGAACAGTCTGCCATAAATTTACTACTGAGGTCTCACACATCCCAAAAAACGCCTCATCATCTGCTTTCCAGTAAAAACACGGCTCTGCCTCAAGAAAAGTTTCCCCATTTCCAAAAGACGTTTCTTCCCTTTGGGAGAGAGGTGGCTGGCCACTAACCTCTCCTGTCTGCCCAGTTCATCGGAATGTCCTTATCATTAACAGCCCACTAGGAGCAAGACAGCAGCGCTGAATCTTCAAACGCCATCCTCACAGAGAACAAAGAAAAATACACTGTCACACAAAATACAAGGAAACACAAGATTCCAGGAATGGGAGTCCAGAAGGGGTTAGAAACAAGATGGCTTTTCCCCTCCTAAATGGCCAAGCCTTAAAGGTGCACTCTGCAGTGCCCCCAGGACCAAGCAGGACCGTCTGCTGGTGTCGGCTGTGCAAATGTCCAGAAAGCCATCTAGTGACATATATTCCAGGGACCTTAATACGGTTCAGTCTAACTACTGGAAAAATACAGAAATCAAACTAAGAGAATCTAAAGATAATTTACAATGTTCTATTTATTTGGCATTTATTTTGGTTAGAAACTGCAATCAAAATAAACATCTAGAAATGGAAAATGCCAAATTAAAATGATTCATTCACCTGACAGAAAGTTATACTGCCATTAAAAAATAATCACACTAGGAAATTATCTAAGTGAAAATAGGAACCAATATTACATATTTTATTATCTATTTTTTTTAAAAAAAGGTATGGATATAGGACATAGAAAACACCAGGAGAAAATACTTCAAAATGCTAACAGTGTTATTTAACTCGTAAGTGATAGCTGATTTCATTTTTATACTTCTTTAAATTGCTTTCTACAATGAGAAGTATTATACTTTTTATTAATCGGTAGAAAGGCTGTTGTGATGGTTTTGACCAATTCCTAAGAATACATATAAACCCATTCAATGAACAACTGAAAATGAACAGAAGGGGCTGGAGCGATACAGCTCACAGGGAAGGCCTTACAACACTCACCCAGTTCTGATCCCTGGCATCCCTGGTAGGACTCCCGGGAGCACT